AGGAGCTATTCACTGAAATTTTCACTGAAAGTGAAAAATTCGAAATTTTAGAAAAAGTATCAGGGGAACATGACAATCGAGGAGCTATTCACTGACATTTTCTCTGATAGTGAAAAATTCGAAATTTTAGAAAAAGTATCAGGGTAACATGACAAGCGAGGAGCTATTCACTGAAATTTTCACTGATAGTGAAAAATTCGAAATTTTTGTCAAAGTATCAGGAGCACATGACAACCGAAGAGCTATTCACTGAAATTTTCACGGAAAGTGAAAAATTCGAAATTTTTGTCAAAGTATCAGGAGCACATGACAACCGAAGAGCTATTCACTGAAATTTTCACTGATAGTGAAAAATTCGAAATTTTAGAAAAAGTATCAGGGGAACATGACAATCGAGTAGGTATTCAGTTTTTAACCAATATTTCGATTTATTAGCGAGTAACAAAAGAAAAAATTGGAATTATTTAAAAAAAAAATGAATGACGGCGGGATCGAACCCTGGCCGTCGGCGTGGTAGGCGAGCACGTTACCATTAAGACAATACGCTCATTATAATAATATAATTTCATTAGGGGTATATATTTTGCAAAGGTTTTTTTAAAAAAATTTCAAATTTGTTTATTTCACTGAATATCTTCTCGATTTTCAAAAATTTAGTTTTTAAACGATCTTTCAGTTGATTAGCCATTTAAAAAAGAACAAATTGGAATTATTTAAACAAAAAAAAAAATGAATGTTGCTAGGATCGAACCCTAGCCGCCCGCGTGGCAGGCGAGCACGCTGCCAACTCGACCACGCGCTCATTATGGAATTTTAATTTCATTAGTAGTATATATTCAATACATTGGATAATTTTTTTTGTTTGAAATTCCACAAGATGTGGTTTTCCCCTTCCGCTCGTTCTAAATTCGGCAAAATCTCACTTAAACAAATAAAAAACAAAAAGGATTCATGCCGCAGAAAATAAAATTCACCCCGTCGACTTGATGGACACCCCCATTGCATGTGCCGCCCTCTCTCTCTCTTGGGGTGAGGTACTACAATGCCGACGGGGTTACTCAACAACGGGGTAACTGCCGAGTCGGCAAGAGGTCATATCACCCTCATTTTCGGGTCATCCACACCCCGAAACCTGGGCCTCTACTATAGTTTATTCTCTTCGTTTCCACCCCTTGAGTATTCAACGAATTCGGCGTCCGTTGCGTCTCATTGTCACGAAAGGTAAGAAAAGGGGGTAATATTCTTCCTATTAATATTCACCCTCCACGAATTTCTACGTGTTACTCGGTATTAGAATTGATTCCTTTTCTTCTCCTCAGGTTCGATTTATAATTTCCACCCCTATTCTTCTTTTGTACGAAGTGAGGATGCCAAACATCACCGGCTTTCATCCACAAACCGTATTGATTCCATCCCTCAATGGCACACCCCATTGACTCAATAGAAATTCTGGAATACATAATGTCCACTTCCATCATCCCCAGAAATTCATTGCTCTCGATATTTATTTATTTGTGAATTTTTCAAACTTCTGTCAATAGGCCGAGAAAAACCCCAAAACAACGATGACGCTTCCAGACTCGGAGAAAACAGATGCTAACACCGACAAAAAGGAAATAGCTGACGAGGAGCGAGAGAAAATGCTGAATCAGGAGAACGAGAAGCACAAGGGTGCGGAGGCCGCGACGATATCCCCTTCGTCGATGACGTCGGATGTCGAGCCCAGGAAAAAAAAAATTCCCATCGGTGGTATAAAGATGCCGGGGTTTTGTCGCCCGAAGAGCAAAGAATTCCAGATGGAGAGTGCAGAACAGCCGATTGATGGAGAGGTGGGTATTCTGGACGCGATGAAACGACCACTGGTGAACGTTTTGGCGAGTATCAAGAAAAATCGCCCTGAGGGTGAGCTAGGGGGTGGCGCAGCTGGTCTGGCAAGTGTGGAGACTCTGGGAGACATCGGTGAGAAGCCAGCAGATGTTTCAGCCCCAGAGGATGGTATGGAAACTGTTCGTTTGGATGGAGGCCCTGAGCCGGATGTCAACGAGGAGAAGAACCCCAGGAAGCCAGGCCCTGTGGAGGTCCTCCTGGCATCAGCTCGCAGGAATCATCTGGTGACTGGAGTCATCGTGGCAGTTCTGCTGCTCGTTATTGTGATAATAACTATCGCCTGCGCTGGTCCTCGAACACTTTTATCGCAGCCACTTAAGGATGGGAAGTACATGGAGGCTGTCACCTCGTGCGGACTAGTTCAGGGGGTCCTGGAGGACGGGGGCTTCGCGTTCCGAGGAATTCCTTACGCTCTGCCACCTCTAGATGCTCTCAGGTGGACCGCTGCACAGCCTGTTAATCGTATCGAAAACTGCTGGAATGACACGTATCTCGCACATAATTCATCGAACTCCTGCTGGCAACGAGATGCCCTGGGAAACCCTTCTGGCGACGAGGACTGTCTTTATCTCGATGTTTTCACGCCTCAGGTGAGGTATGACACTCCCCTCCCCGTGGTCGTGATGATCAGTGCGGAAACTCTCAGTGGGGGATCCCCAGGTGTGATGCAGCCCTCGGCGAAGCTTGCGAGGGTCCGGGACATGGTGTTCGTCAGGCCAAATTTCAGGCTCGGTGTCTTTGGATTTCTCTCAGCCAGGCACCTAACGAGATCTACCCATTTACCGACATCTGGAAATTACGGGCTGTCGGATATTGTGGCGGCTCTCAAGTGGGTGCAACTGAATATTCAGAACTTCGGGGGGGACGAGAAATCTGTGACGATCTGGGGACACCGAGCAGGCGGGACTCTTGTTACTAGTCTTCTTGCATCGCAAACCATAAAAAATCTGTTCTCAAGGGCTTGGGTGTCGAGTCCCAGTGTCACCCTGCCGACGAGGCCGCTGGATGAATCTGAGAGACTCTCGGAGGGGTATCTTAACACCCTGGGATGCAAGGACGTTGTCTGTATGCGGGCAAAAAGTCCTCAGGAACTTCTGAGGGCTGAACCCGCAATGTGGTACAATACTTCGGAAAATTCAGAGCTCCCTGGCCCCTCGGGAGGGGAATCTTCGAGGCAGAGGCATGAGTGGCTGGTGGTCGATGGGACTATCATCCAGGAGAACGTTTACGATAGACTGGAGAGAGTGGGGACGTCTGTGAAAGTCGTGATGGGGACCACTGTCCATTCGGCAGCACATTCTCACTCCAAAGGCCTCAATGCCAGTCTGGATCAGTCCCACGTCGAGAGGGTTGTGAAGGAATCGTTGTTGGGGAGTCTTGGGCTCACGGAGGAAGTCCTCAAACGGTACAATGCATCTCTCCACGGTCTAGCTACTGTTGTCTCCGAGATTCGCGTACTCTGTCCCATTTACAATTTTACTAATCTTGTGCCTGCAAGTAATATATCGTTTTATATTGCCACTCAACCTCGGTGGGGTCAACTCGCTGATGCCGACAGTGACGTCGCTGCCATCCTCGGGTCCTATACCCTCAGGACTCCCGAAGAAAAGAGACATCAATCCGCCATTCAACAACTCTTCAATCAGTTTGTCTGGCATGACCGCATTATCGATGCTGCTAAGGAAATCTGGGGGTACAATCATCATAATTACACCAGTAATGCCAGGAAAATCATCGTCGTAGGACAGGACATCCTCCCACAGTACGGCTACTCCAACTGCGATTACTGGATTGAGAAGAATCTCGTTCCGAAATACGCGAGGATCGATTAAGTACGAGGGGTTTTGCTTTTCATACGACCTAATTGGTTCAAATTCTTGTTGGAGAATTGGTAAAAATTGTGAGTTTTTAAAGGTCGGGGGCCTAAGCCTATTGGTGTCAGATTTCTTTTTGAACTCAGCCTTCTCTCCTGGAAAAAAAAATCATCTGAATATCCAAGACTGAAATTTTTCAATGACGTGATCAGCAATTAATTTCTTCACGTTACACCACGAGGAATTCTGAGACTGACCTTTCCAGAATTCATTCATGAATTTACTCGTCTATTTATTTATTTATCTATTTATTTATTTATTTATTTATTAGTCGGTTTTGAGCACCGCATGCCGGAGGCCATATCTTAGATAGAACGCTAGTGTTAAGTGATTGTAAAACCGATATTTCACGAATTCACGCATTTTTCTGCATTATGTGATTTCTTATAGCTTTATCACGATAATTTATATCTGTCATTACGACACTTCTGGTAATTGTAGGATAGAGTGTAATACAATTTTTCTACGATTCTTACGATGGGCGATGCGCCTTCATATGAAATAAAGAAACTTATTAAATAAACAAATCTGAACGCAGAGAAAACAATTTCTGTGAAAAATTAAGTTATATTCCTACCACCAATTTTTTTGATATGAAATAATTAATTGAATTGGCAGAAAGAATTTTTTTTTTGGTAGTGAAGAATTATTCTTTGAAGATAGTATGAAGAAGTTCATTTTTGTGGGATTAAGATAAGATTATTCTCGTCACCTAATCGACTGGTCTTAACTACAAATTTCAATGGTAAAATTCACTTTTTATTTTCCAATACGTGCACAACAACTAATGACAATGATACATAGAAGAATCATAAATATGTATCACTCATTTACATTTATTTCACAATTAATATTTCAAAACGAAAAACATGATTCATTATTTATTCTCATCTGTATTGAGTAATTTTTACCTCTTTGGCTTCCGTCAGAAAGTCGAGAAAAACTTTGTGTGTATCTACGTGTATTATTGGTTGATGGATAAAGTAGATTAGAACCAATTTTTTTGTTTTAGTAAGCATGATTTGCTACGAACAATGCTGCATCACCTGCTGCTCCTGCAACTCCACCTGCGTATTTTCCAAGGGCTGATTCGCTGTTCGCCTGTAATGGAAAACTTCATTTTATTCCGAGTTTTTTTTCTCATTATTGAAGTGTTATCACAGGCAATGGAGTAATTATTAACACAGCATTGCACACAATTAACACATAATTAGTACGAATTGATGATGGATTTGTGTGATACTTACACTGGGTAGGAAAAATACTAAGGGTAAAATAATAGTCAAGCATAGATTTTAATAGGCATGTGCTTTCACGTGTAGAGATACATCAGCTGCTTTGCTGACGATACTGCCAGCTGCGTACTTTCCTTGGCAGGCGAGACCATTGGCCTAAACAAGTTTACAACATTCAACAACATGCACTACGGAACGAGTGAGTACTAGACTATTTCAACTGATTTCTCTAAAACACTAGAAATCTACATAAAAGAGGAAACATCAGCATAAAGTAGTAGAAACAGTGAAAAAAAGAGTAGAAATTACTGGAAACACTAGAGGAACATCGAGCTAAATGAGTTTCAGGGAAAAAAAATGAATAAATGACCTTGGCTCTCTTGATGAGTTCATCCTGGGCAGCAGCGATTTGATCAGCCTTTCCAGACCATGCTCTGAGTACGGAGGCTTGAAGAGCACGTCCATAACTGAAAGTGAGAGCCCAGGGTTTCTTTCCAGGAACTTTGTTGATGGCATCAAGATTGACAGAGGCCTCTTCCTCAGACTGTCCACCACTGAGGAAAGTTATTCCAGGAACTGCTGGTGGCACAGTGCGTTGAAGAGCTGTCACGGTAGCAACAGCAATTTCTGCTGGTGACGCTTTCTTCGGACAGCTCTGTCCTGGTGTCACCATGTTCGGCTTGAGGAGAGTTCCCTCCAGGTACACGTGATGATCATTGAGGGCCTTGTAGACAGCAGCGAGCACCTCCTCGGTGACCTCCTGGCAACGAGCGAGATCGTGATCACCATCGGGGAGAATCTCAGGCTCGACGATTGGCACAATCCTGGCACTTTGACAGATCGAGGCGTAACGTGCGAGAACATTAGCGTTCTCAAGGATTGCTAATCTGCTGGGATGAGTCTTTCCCTTGATCTTGAGGACACAGCGCCATTTGGCAAAGTGACAACCGTCCTTCTTGTACTGTATACAACGAGCCTGGAGATCATCCAACCCCTGGGTTGTGCACTCGTCGTCGGTACCGAACAGGGGCACCACACCCTTGTCTACTTTTATTCCTGGGGTTATATTACGCTCCTTCAACAACTCCACGAAGGGCTTTCCGTCGTCAGAGCTCTGGTACAGGGTCTCGTGGAAGAGGATCACTCCGGAGATGTGATTCGTGATAACATCCTTTTAAAAAAATCAGTTGAAGGATTAATTCATTGATTTAATTAGTCAGTTCAATTTGGCGAGCAGGAGAGATAATGCCAAGTTTATCATTTTTTTTAATAGAAACAGCTTCTACCTTTGCTGTGGTAAACAGCAGCTGTCTGTATGCCTTTCGATTGGCCTCATTGTTTTCTACGTTGATGTCCTGAAGACGTTTCCCTATTGTCGCCGTCGACTCGTCAGCTGCAAGAATTCCCTTGCCGGGGGCAACGATCTGCTCCGCAATTTTCTTGAGTTCGGCTTTGAGCTCCGGCTCGGCTTTCGCGTATTTTTCGGCTATCATTTTCTGAAATAACGGTAATCCACTCTAAATCATCCGCTTATCCATCCCCTAGGATCAGAAGCCACCAGCAATCATCTTCACACCAACAATTTCACCCTCGATTGCGTCATCTTGCGTAATTCTTTCGCAATTTGTTTGGCATTTTAGTCGGAGAAAAATAATCTACTGACAAGTGTTCGAGAATGAGACCTCGGGTCCAAAGACATGATAAAACCGATGCAAAACACCTTATCAGTGTGTTTTTCTGGCCCAATCAATATTATTAATTATCGCGCACGTACGTGCAGGGATATCGTATTAATCCTCTTCAAGGATTTCTACGGGGTCTAGGGATATCCCATCCTCTATTTCCGACACGGGGAATCGATACTTGAGAATATTATCGAATTCGAATCTGCGCATGCATGGGATTTTCAGACGCGTATTTTTTTTTATGCCATCGGTGCCCGTAATCACGCGATTCTAACCTCGCTTCGCTCGGTTAAATCGCGGATTCCGGGCGCAATGACATAAAATTTTGTATGAAACGCGTGCGTAATATATTTTTCGACTCGTGGGATTGTAAAACTCGCCTTCGGCTCGTGTTACAAACCTCCCACGAGTCAAAAAATATTTTCCGCACGTGTTGCATAATATACTATACTATCGATATAACACTCGCAATATTATTATCTACTTGAAGAATGGAGTTTTTAATACCCTACAGTCTGGGAATGCATCCAACACTTCGTCTTATGACCAAAGGCATGATGAAATATCATCAGGATAATTAAAATACGTTTATTTATTCAATTGTTCTAATTATATGCCTTTCATCGAAGTCAGTATATTTTTTTTTTATTATTAGATCAATTTATTTTAAATTTCGGTAGAAAAAAAAAATATTATGGATTCTGAGAGGAAATCTCAAGACTTTTTTTATGGAATTTAATTACGTGACTTTCCGCACGCCACGTGAAGAAAATATCTTCGGACTATCATAAACTCAGAAAAATCATTATTCTAAATAAAATGTTCGAATAATGATTTTTCCGAGTTTATGATTTATTCGACAGAATGATTTCGGTTAATTTTTCAGTGCCAATAATTGTCTGAAGGTGATTATATAATAAATGAACACTCGAGTGCATGAATAACCTGATTATTTTTCAGGCCAATTGTTACAAATGAAATGTAATGGAGATTAAAAATTATTCCTGCCAAATAAATACACCTGCGCAAAATATATAAAACGTTTAACAAATTGAATAAAAAAAAATCATTTTGCCACAGTAGTACTTCTTGAGGTATTTAGTAGTAATTATTTTCACACTGTAATTCCATAATTACATAATATTGACGCATGAACTATTTGACATTTCGGAAGTCCGTTGACTTTTTTTTTAATTATCTGGACTACTTTCTCCATTTTGCTCCACTGACATACGTTCAAGAGAATAGATCGATTGTGTAGACCCCGTCGACATTTTCGTGGAAAAGGTTATTCCAACGGGCCAAATCGATAGGCCAAGAAAATCTAGCGAATCTAATGGAAACCCCAACGACTTGAGCGAAATTGGTAAATTAAAGAACTGAGATAATAAATGAAGAAATGTGAAAAAAAAAACAGAAAAAATTGTTGTATTAGAAGAAAATGTTTTCACTGGTGGAAACCCAGTGGTTTAAATCGAGATAGATTGGTCTAATGTCACCCAAGGTCATATCTACAGGGCAAGGTCTGCTGGGCTTGATGTCCGCGGTTTTTGTTGATGAATAAAAGAGATAAGATGGAATTAGAAATGGTGGACTTTGAGAGAAACACAGGGGAAAGTTGGACTTACGTTTTTTTAATTTCAAATGGAAAAATGAATTCGGTTGAATGTCCTATCAGCACACCTCAGCAACACTCAACACTTCGTGAGCAACTGAACGAACGGTGGAGAAACTACTTGGTTCAAAGTCTACATCCCCTGCGCAGGCGCATTATCCTGTTCTCAATCAGAAATATGAAAATATTTTTCATAGCCCACAGCATCCTGGGAGCTTCAGCTAAAATTTATCAAGTGGAATTTCACCACAAATGTCATTATGTTGTTAGGAAATTGTTGGAAATGTAAATTAGATTGTTGAGATTTTTTTTTGAAATTCGGTCGGCTGGACTGGCGGCAACTGAGAATTTTGAAAGTGACATTTGAAGATTTGTGGAGTTGAAACATGAAAATATCGTCGCGAATGAGAATCCCTGTGTGAAGGTCAGTCAAGGGCACCTTGAATTGACATTCAATGAGTGGATAGTGTGTATGAACTATTTAATTTTCTACGTCATTAGAAAACTTTCAGTCACTCGGCATTTTCATCATCACTACGTCGCTTATTTGATCATTAAAGACCCCATGATGTAATAATAAAATTATACACCCACTTGGGAATAATATCTGGAATGGGGTGGGGTCATGTGAGCACTGGCATTAAGAAAAATATTGAATGCTGTCAGAAGTCCAACATTTACTATTTAAAAGAGAAAATTCTTCGTGGCAATTATTTCAATTTCCTCTCTCTGGAGAATCTAATAATAAACTAGAAAATTATTGTTATAAAAAATCAAGAAAATACAATAAAAAAATACTTCATAGTGAGATCCGTGTTTTGAAAATTTGTAAAGTTGCAGTTTGTGCGCGAAATTTCGATTGGTGGAAAAAAAATTCCTCAACAGATAAAAAAGAGAAGAGCCTTACCCCCGGAGCCTCGTCACAGTACAGTACGTGCAATGGAGGATAAAAAAACTATCTCGACTTCATGAAAACTAATATTTCTCATATGGCTCCTGTTTTCCGGAATTTTCATAATCGCATTGTCCACAAATACTCGATCGTCACGGATGTTATCAAAGGTGCATGTACTTTTCCGCGAGTCAGTTGGCTCCAAGGACCGGACCGTGATGGAAGCATAATCGATATTGTGAAACATTCGATATAGAGCAGCAAGAAAATATGGCCAAATTCGGCGTTAAGGCTGTCACACAGGTTTAACGAAACATAATCATCATTTTTTTAAAATCAATAAATTAAAAAGAAACATCACCGATAAACGTGAATGCCTGTGACGAGGAATTGTACGGATATATTATGATTGGGACGAGGGTATGCGGTTACCTGTTTTTGTTAACATTTTTGGATTCAGTGCTACTAATAAGGCCGTCCTTTCACGGTCACAACAATGGTAAGTTATCACTTACTTCGTTATCTGATAGCGCTCTTCCTCATTTTTTTATGCCAATCCCGATAACACCACTGAGATTTTTCATGAATTATTACGTACAACCAGTTTATTATGTCATGAGAATGCATTTGGGTAGTGAATTGTTTCGTACGTCACGTTGTGTTTTTCAAATTCATCGCTGGGAGATCTGAGACCTTGAGTCTCTTTACTCTGTACAAATTCCAGCATTCGTCCAGGATGACAAGGACGTTCAATATTTATTGGACAATATACCCATGTCCATGCACAAGGTCAGTGGATATTCAAACAAATGTCTGAATATTGTAATTGGGATTTAATGTATTTTATTTTTATGTATCTCTGGTTGACCGTTGGAATCAGGATTTTACTGGATCAGTGCACGTGGCCGGGTAAGCACAATAACTACTCTCTGGTGAGTGAAAAAATAGGAAGGGTCGAATAATTCTTTCATCAATTTTTCCACTAACACAATCATCTGCATCTCTCTCAGCCGTTCCTATTTTCGATCTCGGGGATTTTTCACTTGTGATTTATACATTTTTTAATTAAAATTTTATTGAAGGGATGGAATGGATGACAAAGCGGTGCCAGAGTCAATATCCTACATTCAATTTGAGCCACGTGTCTTAGACTTCAAAGAAAGGTTCGCAGTTGTCATTTTTTATCGATGAAATGAGGTCTGACGAATTTTCGTTTTCAGGCAATTGGGAGTTCCCCACAAAAAAACCGTGACGCTGTTGAATCGGGATGCCAACAGGACGATTCATCTGACATCCATATCGGGCAGTACACAGCACTTTCACTCGTCCTTTTTCCAGGATAAAGTGATTCCACCCCTGGGGAACACGACTTTCAACGTGATATTCCTCGGGAGGGAGGAGGGTGAAATTGACAGTCAGCTGTACATTCACACGTCAGATGGAACCCTGAAATATCAGGTAAAATAATCACGTGGGAGGAATGAGATCAGATTATTCATCATATAATTTTGATCAGGTGAAGGGGTCAAGTGTCAGCAGTCCCTATAGACTGCGACCAGTTGTCGGTGTCAAGCTGCCACTCAATGCGTCATTCACACCATTAATTTACATGCACAATCCGCATTCGGAGCCCATGCAGGTACTGCGATTTTTTTTTATTCTTAATTTCTATGGTTTTATATTTATTTTTGCTTCAGGTGGTAGAAGTGTACAGCAGCGGCGGTGAATTCCAATTGGAATTGCCCTCGGGGGAGGCAGAGGGTCCCCGGGAACTCTGGGAGATAGCACCATACCAAACAAAACCAGTCATAAGATTACATTTCAATGCATATGTAGAGAAAAATCATACAGCGTACGTGAGATTTAAAGTGAACAATAGCGCAGAAATAATGGTAGTAGCAATCGAAGTGGAAGTTGGAAACGGCGCTGGACTTCACTGGGGTGGTAATTCCGCCTCAATAAACCTGGGAATGGGAGGATCCCTGCAGTCCCCAACTCATTATCCAATAGCCCTGCGAAACTCTGCGAAGAAGCCAGTGAAAGTGGTGAACGTCATCAGTACACCTGTATCAAAAGCCCTGAGAATAAACTTCGAATCGACTGTGATACCGGGGGAGACAGAGACCCCCGTGACCATAGGGACTTTAATCTACGATTGGAAAGCCGGCCTGGACCTGAAACACCTGAAGGGTAAACTCGTGATAAAGGGAATTGGCCCTGGTGGATCTAGTCAGAAGCTCGCGATTCCCTGGATGGCAGACGTTCTTCAGGGTGGTTTAGAAATAAACAAGACAGTGGCCCACTACTGCTCACCTCACTCGAATCAACCCAGAAATTTCAGTGTTGTTAATAGATTCAAAGTGCCACTGGCCATCACCAACGTGTCCCTCTCGTCAGAGGCTAAATCTCTTTTCTCCATAAAGAACTTCATTCCCAGAGTTCTGAGGTCTGGACAGAAGGCCAACATATTCACGCTGAATCTCAACAGCGATGGAAAGGGTGACAGCACCAAGCTGGAGTCATCGATAATCATTCACTCGAACGTATCGACAACAGAGGTGCCACTGCTGAGTTACGATGGAAAAGTCAAGAAAATCATCCCTGGGGAGAGGGAGAGTGATCGTGGCACCATGAATTTTGGCACTGTTGGCAGTGGAACTGAGAATGAAGCGATATTCGCGTTGGAGAATCAAAATCCAGTTAATGTAGAGCTCCATGGCTGGGGGGTAAATATGCCAGGGGCAGTGCTGGAGCTCATGGGGTGTCAGAGTGGTCCCACCGACCTCTTCAACAAGGGCCTCAGAAATATGAGTGTATGCAGCAATTCTGGAAACCAGAGCATCAAGCCTGGATATCTGGCAATCTTCAAGATCAAGGTGAAAACTCCGATGATCGAGGAGGACACAATTGTTGGGGACGTCTTTGTAAGAACTACGTATGAGAGACTGACAGTTCCTGTTTACATGAGAGTCGCTCATGGCAGAATTTCCCTGAAGAAACTCACGTTCTCGGACTGTTTCCCCGGGTCCATTTGCATGCAGCAGATCAAGATTCACTCGACGTTCTCACGTTCCATGCAAGTTACGGTGATTGCTCCAGTGGATAAAGATAATAGGGTGAGATATGTTCCCCTGGAGGAGTCTGATAATCTCCCGATGATATCCAAGGGGGAGAATCACGTGGGCACGATCAGAATTGATCCATCGGTGACGTGCAAGCCGCACTGCTACCTGGGACTGTCTCTCAATACAACCGCTGGGAACCAGTGGCTCAATACTATGAATCTACCCTCCCACACCAGGGACTCCGATGTAAATCTACTCAATGCAAGGTACTCTCGTTACTTGAATATCTCATCTAGCTGGGATAACATCACGATGCGACTGGATACCACTGAAGTACGTGGCCACAAGTTTTTCGTCAATATCAAACCATATTGGCCTTCTCTAGTTCTCCCGGAGGAACATAATCTCAATAATCAGAGGAATAAAACCCTCCAGCCACTGGCGTTTCCCCTTACTCAGGTCGGTAACACATCCTTCAAGAGTCTAACGATTCACAATCCTAGCAGCACTAAACCTCTCTTCATTCAACTCGTCATGGACTGGAGTTATCCCCAAGGGGTTAGATTGTACCACTCATTGCCCAATAAATTTAAACCCCTCTGTTACGAGTGTCCAGCAACAATTGATGGAGAGTTCAAACTCAACGGCCAGCAAGAGGATAGAAATTCCTTTCAGAAATTCTCACATCTCGAGACCTCCGTAGACTCACTACCACTGTACCTCAATCCTGGTGAATCAAGAACAATAAAACTCTCGTATACACCATCCTCAGCGACTTTCTCCTCAGGACTCCTTTACATCAGGAATAACCTGACGATTCTTGAAGTAGTTCGTCTGGTGGGACGTGGGGCACACGCCCAATTCAAATTTGGAAACAGAAAGCCCAGTTCGAATACTCCTTTGCTCTTTGAACTCGCTGAGAAGCACCTCAAGGATTGCGAGCAGAAGGAAACCGCGAGGAAGAATACACTTCCCAATTTAACAGTCAAGCGATCCTTCACTGCTAGAAACACTGGAGAATTACCTATCGATGTTTATGGGTTTTCCATCAGTGGAATTGCTTGCGAGGGGTATGGATTCAAGGTACTGAACTGCGAGTCTTTTAAACTTAATCCAAATTCAACGAGAAAAATCGAGATTGCTTTCACACCAGATTTCACTCTATCGAAGATCGAGAGGGAGTTGATGATATTCACTAGCATAGGGGGTGATGGACCAGACTCGGATAGAGTGGAGAATGGAGTAGTCAGGCTTTCACTTCTCACGACTATTCCAGGGCATATTCTTGAGAGTTGTGCTGCTGTTTTGATTAGACCAACGTGGGAACGACCTGTCCACTGGGCAGCAATGGGTCTCTCCTCGATTCTGCTAGTGTGCGTTCTAGCTGTCTCCTTTCTCGAGGCTGATAGGATACTCAGGGGAGCCTTGGAGAGCATGTCGAGGAGTAGTCCAGTGCAGCCTCCTCTGGATCTCAGACAACTGGCCACTCAGGCTGTATCCACTCTTTCCAAGGACAAACTTAACGAGGATAATAACAAGGTCGTTGTGAAGAAAAAGGAGGAGCCTGACTGGGGGCTGATGAATGTCAAGAGAGGAGGGAAGGAATCCAGGGGTATGAAAATACCAGACTGGTCAGCTGAGGAGGAGAAACGTTTTAAAAATGATACGGAAATAAAGGACAAGTCCGAGCAAGTCCCTGAGGTGAATCACGAGAGTGTCCAGAAGATAGGGAAAAAGAAGAAGACAGTGGATCCAGAGACCTCGGAGAATCACGAGAAAGTCAATATTCCTGCGAAAGCCAGTCCAATTGTCAATAAATCTCATAAAAAAGAGGACAAGGGTGAGGATGAGTCGGTGAATACCGCGAATGAACCCAAGGATAAACGTAAATTCGCACAGCACAATAATAGTGGTAACTCCACAAATAATCCTGGAACGTACAAAAAATACGAGGGCAACACTAGTCAGAAACTTCAGTACTCGGAGGAGGAGACATCGTCGACGACCACTGAGAGTTCCACACAGGAGGATCAGGTGAGCTACAGCAAGGAGCAGATTTACCAGAAAGCGGATAAGACCCAGAGGAAGACGCCCCTCAAGAAAAACAAACAGCAGACGAGTCCAGTTTCGAATTCAATCGACTACAGGGACAACTATGAGGGCGACTGTGACGACGATGATTACGATAAAGAGCGTCAGGATAATTCAACAAGATGGAAAACAAATTCGGGGAAACTTGCGACGTCGACAAAGCATCATCATCATCATCATTATCATCATCATCATCATCACCACCAGTCGAGGGCAGCTGAGAGCTCTCTGGGGGGATTTAAGCAGATGAAGAATAAGAATCCAGTACGCAAAGAGAAGACCACGCAGAAGAGGCGGATTGATAAGCCAGTGAAACTCAGCAATAATGAGATGAAGACAGAAACAAGACCAGTGGTCAGAGCACCCTCACCTCAGCCTCCACCTCCACCTCCGGCCTGCTGGGGGGAAAATCGTCCCAGATTCAGTGACGTCGTCACGAGGAATCAGGAGTGCATATCCCCAGCGTTTATAATTAATAAACCCCTAGTAAAACACGAGACACAAGTGAAAAAGAGTCAGGACGACCATCAGAGGCAGTCGATGGAGGTCTATAAACCCAAACTTGAGATTCACCCAGAGATCAATCTGCAGTTCACGTCCGAACATTATTCTGGGATCACTGACACCCAGGATAGATTCTCTGAGCCCCTGATGCTGGGAAATCACGAGGAATCCAGCAGTTACTTCATGAATTCATTTGAGCCACAGTTCGAGCGCGAGCTCGTACCCTACGACGATCTTCCTGAGACAGACGAGCCTCTGGTGGAGCTCGAATGCCTCGAGGAGACCAGGTGTCCAATCTGGGGGGAAAAAAATCCCATCAGTAATTCGTTGGCCGAGGGGAATTCATCAGGGTATGGGGTAAATGCAACTCCCAAACATGTTGACAAACTCTCGCCCCTTGTCGACACCTTCAGGGATAATTGGGTCACTGTTGAGACCAATTGGGAGCCCCTGTATACGAGGGGGGCGGTAGGGGAGGAGAGGAGTGGAGTCTGGGGGGTTAATACTGGGGGTGTGTGGGCTGCTGCACCCTGGGGGGCTCCAACACCTGCACTCTGCCCTCTTCAAACCTCATCTCAGCCATCAGATCACGATTTACAAGATCGCTCTGGCTTCGATCCCTTCAGATCTCTCAGTACAATATGGACCCCTGCATCCACCTCCAACTGGCCCACCAAGAATAATTAACGGGGACTTGTTGAATTCAAACCAAAACAGCACGGTTGTGATTTATTTTTTTTTTTCATCTGTTAATTCTCTCCTCGTCGCTTTCCAAGACAGTGCCAAGTGATAAATTGAGACGTGTAGAATTCAATAATCATTTTATTACCCATTTACCTCGAAAATTATGAATTCGATATGAAAACATTAAAGGACTTTTTTGGTGCTGATTAAGTTTTTAACTTTTTTTTTTTGGATCAGTCGATATTTAATACATCTGGCTAATTCAACTCATCTTGTTTTACTACTTCGGAACTGAACTACACTCGGTGAATGAACTACGAAATTATCGGGTTTGAGAAGGTAAAAATTTTTTTCTTTTTCTTGTGTATCGAAGTACGAACGAAATTGGAGGTAACAGCTGGACTGGAGAGTGGTGGATTCGATTGAACTGTACCTACTTTGTAAGACTGCTAATTGTTGTGTTTCAATAAATCTCAAATCTTCAGGATCTGATGGAATCGAGTAATTTGGGTGTAAGTGTATTTATTAATTAAAAAATCGTTTTAGCTATTTCAAAAGAAATTTCACTTCAATAGGATGTCGATTCGCAGACCCCAGATCTTTTACCAGACAGTGAAGATGATTTGACCTCTTGAATTTTTCTCAGTATCGTCTAGAATGGAAAAAAAATATTCATTACATAAAGGCCAAAGTGTCCATGCGGGCCTTTAATGCCTACAATATTATCTTCGTCAATTCTCCTCTGCATTCTTCTCCGATTAATCGCAGAACTCGCCAGACGTGGTGCAACTCCCGAGGAAAATCTGCCGGATTTTTTCTGCCTCTGCTGGGCCATTATTTTCCTGAGCAAGCACTGATTTTCCCTCTCGATTTTCATCATCTCCATATTCGTGAAGCTCATGTTCTTCCTCCGAGCGCAATTGACTCCAGTTGGAGATGGCCTGCCACTTGATGAAGAATAACTCCTCTTCTGGTAATTAGAATTTTCAACCACTTCGGGGGACTCCTTCGAGGGAGGAAAGGATTCCTCGCTGAGGGATGATCTACCGGTGACACTGGTCACCTCAGAATCATCTGTGAGGTCTCCAGAGGATAACGAATCTTCGCTGTATGAGTACCTCTCGCCATCTCCGTCCTCTTCCGTTTTTTCACTGCATTCCTCTTTATCCGACATTCTCACCAGTCAAAAACGCGAAAAAAAAACAGAAGACTGAACAATACATACAAATAGAGTAAACCGAGGAACCATGACAACGGTACACTCAACAATCCGTGGAATTGAGTCATCGATTTCGAGTGAACCAATGAAAACGAATGATGACGAATTATTTTAATAATAACTAAAATCGTTCAAATCAATTTTGAATAAACTGGAGGAAAAACGATTTAATGAATCTTTCAGTCTTCAATTATTCTTGAGGTACAAAAATCTGTTGAATATACAAGTACGATGGGAGAGAGTAGAGTAAAACAGCCCTTTGTCATTTTATTATGGTTCTCTTCCGGAAATGCGAGGAGAAAATTATCACATTTTCTTAAAAAATGGAATCATAAAAAGTAATGCTAGAAAATAAAATATAAAGGGCTCGTTTCACTCACTCCAGGGGACTATCTCATTCATTGGGGAATCCATAAACCTTGAGACTTCCAGCATCGCGTTTCCTATCGTAACTATCTTTATCATCACATGCATAAGCAAGAAGATACTGTTTGGGATGCCAGGCGACGGTGAAGGTGGCGGCTTCCACGGGGATATCAGCGATTTTTTCTCCAGTCTCGACTTCTCCGATGTCAATGATAAGATCCTCAGATGCAGCAGCGAGTAGCTGTCCATCGTATGAGAAGGAGATCGTCCTGACAGGCCACTCTAGTCTTGAAAAAGTTCGCAAACAGCAGAGCTCATCTGCATCCCAGAGTGACACGAGGGCATCGGCTGATCCGGTGGCGAAATAACGACCTGTCGGGTCGAACTCTATGCAGATACATGTACCAGGGTGTGCCTTGATCACGTGAAGCAGCTCGAGCTCTGGATAACTCAGGATGTGGACACAGCCCTGACCATTTGTCAGGTAAAACGTGTCTGAATCCTTGTTCCAGGAGATCTCGTTCACCTCGAAGTTGAACTGCTCTTCAGCTCGAATTTTCATTGTTCTTGCGTCGATGAATGTCACGAGATCTTCTTTGTTGCCAACTGCTATTGTCGATCCGTCTGGGGACCACGAGATATTGATGTTCTCGCCTTTTGTGTCGATCGTTGCTGTGGATTTTTGGGATCGAGTGTCCCATATTCTCACGGTCTTATCACCACTCGCTGTTGATAATAATTCCGGGTTGAACGCGTGCCAGCAAAGCTGATCTACACTTCCTCCATGGCCTCGAAACGTCGTTTCCTGTTTCTGAATCAGAAGAATAAAAAAAAAAGTTGTAAAATCCTCATAATGAAGAATATATAATTTGGTAATACGATATCGCAATGATAATCATTATATGATAGGCAAAATTCAGGTTTTGCCTACCAATCTGTCAGGCCCCAGGGAGAATATACAGATGCACTTGTCGAATGACCCTGAGGCTAGATATTTCCCATCGCAGCTCCAACCAACACTGTGAACCTTCGCCGAATGCGTTTGTTGCTCTCGAATTTTGTTGTGGGATTTGAAGTAATTTATCAGCTCTTCCACTCGATTGTTTATCCCGGCCATCGTCGACGCTCTCATCACACGTTTTAGAGAATGTTTAGGTTATGTTTATTTACATTCGTGCAATTACACAATGGCGCCAATTTTCCAGAGAAGGATTCCCTGACGTTCGATGAGGCTTTTTAAATTCCTTGGGGCCTATGGAGACACCCGATATCGTCGAGCACTTCTTCGGGGTTTATTTACTCTACTGCGAAAATCCGAAGTACAAGGGCAGGGTTTATATCGGGTATACTGTGGACCCGGTGAGGAGATTGAAGAACCACAATGCTGGGAAAAAATTTGGAGGGGCCTGGAAAACCAGTAATAAAGGGCCATGGTAATGTTAACAATCTGCCCATTAAACAATAATATATCATTTATTGAAAAATTTATTTCCAGGAATATGGTGCTGATTGTTCATGGGTTTCCCAATTCGACCAGCGCCTTGAGAGTGAGTAATCCTCATAATTCTGTAAAATCCTTTTAAAAAAATAACCGGCGGTCAATTATTTATTGTATTTCTGCAGTTTGAATGGGCATGGCAGCATCCCCAGCTGAGCCGTCGTTTGCGGCACATCCCGAAGAAAAAATCCAGAGAGAAAACTTTCGAGTACACTCTGAATGTACTATCGGCAATGCTCCAGGTGGGCCCTTGGTGTCGTCTACCTCTGACCCTTCGATGGCTGGACGACACCTTTGCTGATGCACATTCCTCGAGAGTAACACCTCCCAAGCACATGCCCGTCATCCACGGGAAAGTGATGTCACGGAAACCCCAGGGGAATGCGAATGGTAAAAATGGGGAAGTCACAGAGGATTCTGAAATTTCCATTTGTGATATTTGCTACATGACCCTGGACATCACTGATAAAGTAACGTGTGTCAGGGCAGACTGTGACCTAATAGCCCACATAATTTGTTTGGCTAAAGAATTCGATCATGAGAGAATTCTCCCCGTCAGTGGAACCTGCCCCGCATGCAAGGGTCATCTCCTCTGGGGGGATGTCATTAGAAAAAAAATTGGCTGCCACATTCACTTGAATGAAAATCAAGACTCCACTGATGATTCAGATTAATTGAGTCAATTATAAGACTCGAACGAAATTGTACAATAATTATCCTGTAGATACATTGAATTTAATATTTTTGTAATTATCGTTTCATCGCGTTTGAATCCCGCGGCACTCGCTCATTCCGGAAATCATGTGCACGATATTGTTTATGTAATGTGTAAATGAATAATTGGATAACAAAATGTTATAAAATAATTATGAAAAATATTAATTACTAGACTTTGGTTTTTAGCGATGGAATTATTGGTCCTTTTGTTTGAAAGTTGTTTGATTGAATTAATCCTTAACTTCCGGAAGTTGCAGTAATTCGGCCTTTACGTTCTGCACACGCAAGCGAGGTGGGTTTCACTGTAAATTTTATCCATTTTCTGGCAGTTTCCACCGTCTAAATCCGAATTAATCGCCTAATTGACGGTTTTAATAATTTTCTAATAAACTATAGTACCCCGCAGTAAATTAAAAAATTGAAAGAAAAACGTGCATTCGGCTCCGAAATAATATCTGACACGTGATGGTTGTCGTATAACCTTAATACTTCCACTCGATCCTAATTTATCGTCTCGACATCTCCACGATTTTTTATCGAAAAAATTCATGATGATAAAACAACAGGAAAAATAATAGCAATTGATTTTTATTTTGATTTTCAGTTAGAAAAAAAAAGCATGCAGTTGCACATTCGAGGCCAGACGACGCACGTCCTCGAGTGCCAGGGGACTGAGTCTATCGCTGAAATCAAGGTACAAAAAATTCAACACTCGGTATATTCATGACTGCATTATTATGATACTCCGACAATTGTCCTCGATGCAGTGTCGGAACGAGCATTAATGCTAGAGTAATTTAGGTCTCAGGGTGATAGAACGACTCTAGTTCTGTCTTTTCATGGATCTAAAACACTGGAAAAAAATCTCACATTAATATTTATCGATTGGATGAAATAAAAATTGAGATTGGTGTTTAAATGATTTTTAGGTCGCACTTTCTGCATTAGAAAATGTCGGGTCCGACGATTTTACCCTCCACTGTGCTGGAACACCACTGAGTGATGACACCAACGTGGCCGACCTCTCTTCCTACATTTTGGAATTGACAGTTCCTCTGCTCGGAGGTTCGTATCATTCGTGTCCTCAAAAAAAATTTAATTTCAATTTTTCCATCATTTTTGACCGTTGATTTTATTTACACTCACCCCGTGAGTGAGATGATGTTAGAACGAAAAATTCGAAAATTCCTCAGAAAGGCTTTTAATTTTTAGGTAAGGTCCACGGTTCCCTCGCTCGTGCTGGAAAAGTCAAGGGTCAAACCCCGAAGGTAAGTGTCTCGCCATGATTATCAGGATTATCCTGGCACCATACTGATCTGAGCCAGTGTTCGATAATTCTTAAACGGACATTGGTAAGGATGTGGTGCTAGAATAAAAGCAGATGAAAGTGAAGTCTATTCTGCATTGAGAATCGGCTTCTCATACATCTGCGACACGATCCCTCACCTCCTCCCCCATTTATTTCCCCCAATATTTTACTCATCAATAAATGATATCCAGGTCGAGAAGCAGGAGAAATCGAAGAAGAAGACCGGAAGAGCCAAAAGGCGAATCCAGTACAACAGGCGGTTCGTGACTGTCGTACCAACGTACGGAAGACGTCGGGGCCCCAATGCCAATCCCAACACATAAACGCATTGACAGCGACAAAATGTCATTCTGATTTATTAAAATAAATACCACACTTCAATATTTTTTTTTCAAAATCATTAAATTCTTCCAATAATTCTCCAGTTCGTCGAATTGACCCGACGAATTGCCCGCCTTTCACTCCACGGATTCCTCTCTCTGTTTTGTTAATCTTCAGTCCTCAAACAAAGTTAAAAAAAAATTGTCAAGAGCTGTAGAAATAAGGAGCACTCCAGTGTCACACCGAGTGTCATGTCACGAGGCCTGCGAGCTGAGAGTTTGCATCTTCAAAAGATAACACACTCCGACTATTTTTCTATTCGACTAAACGGAAAGCATTTTCATTAAAAATTTCAATTCCAGAAATTTTCTCCAATACATGTATCATTAAAAAAGAATTTATAATAATTAACAATAATCATTACAATTTATTTCGGAAAGAAATAGAAAATTGCTTTAGCTTAAAAAAATATTCAATTTCTTTTATTATTACAGTAATTTCAAAAGTATATATTAAAGTGTATAAGACAGAAAAACCAACACCACTGAACCATCAAGACCATTAAAATTCAATATGTCAGTATGAGAATGAAACAGCCCTATGTCCTCGGCTGCAACTTGAGCCAGATTCCACCCTTGGGCGTGAGACTCAAGCTGTTCTTCGCTATTTCAATTTTCTCCGTTGACTTCTCGCTCGGCAACACAGTAAACTTGTGAATAATTCTCGCAAGTACGAGTTTAGTCTCCATCATGCCGAACCGTTCCCCAATGCACTTGCGAGGACCGATTCCAAACGGAACGAAAGACAAGGGTTCGATATTCGCTTTGTTCTCCTCGTTGAAGCGTTCAGGGTCGAAGTTCTCGGGCTCGGGGAAATATTTGGGATCTCTTTGAATGCTGTAGATATTAACCCAGAAGGTTACACCCCGATCGGTGGTCATTCCTGGTGAATTCTCCAGGGCGGGGGGTAATTCGAAGGGTTTTTCGCACACCCGATCGAGGAAAGTCGCAGGGGGATAGAGCCGGAGGGTCTCGTTGATCACCATGTCCATGTATTTGAGTTTAGCTAGCATTTCGTATGAGAATTCCTTGTCCTCGAGGACCTCGTCCACTTCCTCGCGCAACTTTTGCTGGACCGCTGGGTGATACGCTAACTGGTGACAGAGAAAACTCATCAGCGTGGAGGTGGTGTCGAATCCTGCCAGGAAGAATATGAACGCCTGCGCCACGATATCGTCCATGTCTATTTTAATTCCACTGGAATCTCTTGCCCGCATTAGCAATTGAATCATGTCCGGTCTCATGACACCCCTCTCGTCTCTCATTGTCACGGTATCGTGGATTAAATTTATGAAGAACTTGTTCGTCTCTTTGGAGAGATACGTCTGCCCCAGGAACCTCATCAGCCTCGGGAAGGTGATCCCTGCGAAGAACTTGAGGACCCGTTTGGTTCCACTCAAGTTCGTCGCGTCTTTTCCTCGGAAGAAAAACTCGTTGTCCCGGTGCTTCATGGAGTCCACGTTTATCCCAAAAGCCGCGGTCGCTATTACGTCGTTTGTGTATCTGCTGAAGGCGTCTTTTGTCTCGATTAGTTTTGTTATTTCTGGATTATCCAGGAGGTACTGGGTGAAGTCCTCTGAGACCTTTGACACCAACTGGAAGAGGAACTTCATTTTGCTGGCTGTGAAGGAGGGGCTCAGGGCGCTGCGCACCTCTCGCCACCGATCCCCTTTCAAAGAGAAAACGTTTTTCCCGAGGATCGGATCCATCCTCTCGTCGACGAAACTCCGGTGATCCGGGGCGTTGTCGAAATTCTTGATGCAGATGTCTCGGATCAGGTCGAGATCTTTGAGAATTATTATTGTCTGGTTCCACATGGTCACACCGAAGTACTTGGCGTCGGGGAAGTTCTTGTAGAGGTCCTCCGAGAAATCCGCAACTGATGTTCGCCCGAAGAACAGACTCACGTATTTGCTACCGATCACTGGAATCGTTGGGACGTGGGGAATCCCCTTCCTTGGCCAGTAGGTCATTTGATAAATTATCAGGATGACGAGGAGTCCCACCAGAACGGTGATTAACGCGACCGTCAGGTCCATTCTGCTCTTAATTCTTTTTCTTAATGAAAAATCAATTCTTCAATTTAATACTCCATTTTTCACAACACATCGATTTTTTTTTTCATTCCAAAAAATCGCAATAATGAATTATTTAAACAAATAATTAATCATAGCATTAATTATTCATTAAAAAAATTATAGTGATAAGTAATTTTAATTTTTAGTTCTAATTTTATGAAGTTAGTAAAAAATATTTATTCATTTGGGTTTGAAATTTTCTGGGGAGCACTCGCTGGTGATAAGAAAATGATAAAAAAGGGGAATAATTATTGGAGAGTGGCAGAGGGTTCCTCCCTCTGCTGAAATAATTAGAAATACGCAGTTTACCAGCCGCCATGATAAGGAAAAAAATCGGACTTGATAATTAATAACAATATTTAATCAAAATGAACTGTGAAATCTCACCAGCAGTTAATTATTTCTGTCACCAAAAAATAACACAACAAAGTAGATAGTCCATGCGTTGGTCAATGATAATTACAAATTATTATTAAAATTGCTCATCTCACTGTATCACTTCGTAACCAAATAGAGTAATTGATAGCTCGCCCTCAAATGAAATTACAATTACAAACTCATAATTCACAGCACTCAATTTCAGCTGTCAATTTCTATCATACTCACTCGTCCGTAGATAGCAGAAACAAAATTCCAAATGATTTATAACTATTTCAATTCCTTTTTCTGTGCTAATATTATCCGTGTAAACTGCTTTACTCAGTGCATTGCAAATGGCACTGACTGTATGCTCAACTCTCATCATTCATTAAGTACACCAAGATGTAGAAAATTGATATACGTTCATAATTTTCCTGGTGGGAGAAATGTGTCAAGGTCATGTGCAACAATTTATTATTTCATTGAATGAAATGATAACGCACCGTCAGTCCTCCAAGCTACACATGGATTCATAATTCAAAAAAAATTTATTGCATTAAATGATTGATGCATGATTGATAATTACGGGAGGATGAGGAAGATGAGGAAGATGAGGAAGACGAGGAGACGGAGTGACCAATCAATCTCACGGTTGTGATTGATTATTTAATTGCAGTAACAATTTTGTTGATGAATATGGAGCGGGTCAGACTGTGAAATACGGTGGGATGCCCACGGGACATAAAACATTTGCATAATGAATAGATCTCATTGCAGGCCAAGTCACTCTCGTGAAAATTTTGATGCTCTTACCCGCGAGTCCCACTCGTGGCTTTATTTTCCTGGCGCATGTGCCCCAGAGAACTGCTGTCTTATGCTCAACATCCACGACATTCTGGATCGACTGCTCTTCAGTTCAAAACGAAACGATCAACTCGTCTCTTACCCGCCAATTTTTCCACTTCATTACGCGAATTCATTACGATTTAGTGACACGTGTTATTTGCGGGAAAAAAAAAAATACTTCAACTGGATTTAATCTTGACAGGCGTCATGTTTATTAAATTATATGCAACCGAGTCCTTGTGCTTGCACTCGCAATGTTTATTTCGGTTCAAGTGCGGATGTATTTCGGTGTTATCGGGTAATTAGGGCTGACGGGATCAATCAATCAATCAGCTTTTGGCTAATTTCTCCGGCATCAATACCAGTCACTGTCTTTCATTATATTTTTTATTAAAAATAGAGACTTTCATGAAAAAATCAGTGGAACTGACTATTCGTATGGAAAAAATGAAGAAACATCCAGGTAAATCCATTCTAAAAATACAATAATATTATTTAACGTAATTTGTTTTTGGTGATGAATCAGTCTCTCAATTCAGTTGATTAAATTAATTATTTGAATTAGTCTTTAGTAATTATGACGTACTGAGCTATAATTGCAATTTTTATAGTTACTTTGAAAACCCGTAACTTCGTCGCGTCTGGTGTTTTTTATTTTCACCTAATCCCCAGGATATTTATACCTACCGACCAGGAAGATGTACCTTTTGGAGACGAGTCAATTGATCCGGATCCAAAACGTTCGACTATTACTTTATTTTATTCACCGACGTAGCGTACTAAGATGCGTTCCCCTTTTTACTTTAAACAGGAAATTATTGATGACAGCGGTATGGGGTGCGTTGGAGGCGGTGAAATCAGAGCTAAAACTCGTGAGATTGAGACTGGATGACCAGTTTTGATGTTTTTTGATCGCTTCTGAACGCAGAATTAATTGATCGCAGTGTTAATGAGTGGATGATGAGATGTTGGCGATGATTTTCATAGCTCTGAATATTCTGCTGGGCCTGATAGACGCTGGAGATCCATCTGCCAAGGTCAGGGGTGACCTGGTGGTTGGTGCACTCTTCAGCGTTCATCATGCACCGAGTGGTGGTCAGGGTGCTCTCGTTTGTGGACCTGTCAGGGAACTCTATGGGATACAGAGAGTTGAGACTGCTCTCATCACTCTCGACAAAATTAATAGAGACACGAGTATTTTACCTGGTGAGTGGATTTACCACTGGGAATAAATATTCATTTACTTCAGAGAAGTAAATTAAAGTCTTCTTAAAATCTTTCTTCTCCAATAATTATTGATTGATCGATGTCATGATCAACTCCTGGTTGCGAGTCAACTAAACATTCACAATGATCAATTAATTTATAATAAAAATAAAATAAAAAGATAAATGCTTACTAGACTCGCAGTCAGGATTTTTCTCATTGATCTTATCGATATTTATCTCAAGGTAATGAATGGGAATTTTTTTTATTGAGTACAGAATTTCTGCTATTGTTTAATGACTTTATCTATCGGAAGGGGTGACACTTGGACTGGAGGCGAGAGACTCCTGTTGGTCTGCACCTGTGGCACTTCAGCAGAGTATCGAACTTGTGAGGGATGCTATCACACCAGCTCTCACTCAACCCCAACTTTCAGCCAATGGGGAATCGCTTGGCTGTCAAGTCGATTCGATTATTCTAGTCAGTATTCCGAAATTTTCGATGCATTACACATTATATCAGAAAGTTTATGGACAGAATATTGGAAACTTCTTTTATAGAAACTCGAATAATTTTTTTTCTTGCAAAAGGAACACATGAATTTTCACAGGATTTTTTATTGGTAGTGCTTGATGTTGTTAATTGATCGGATAATTCTCTCAGAATTCAGAATCTCCTCTGAATAAGGCACCGGTTGTTGGGGTTGTTGGTCCAGGCTCGAGTTCAGCTGCTCTTCAAGTTCAGAATTTATTGCAATTGTTTTCAATTCCTCAAGTGAGTTCATTCTAATTAGGGGTAAATTTGGGAGCTGCTCATTATGATCTGATTAATTGCAGATTGGGTACTCACCAACATCGAGAGATCTCAGCAACAAGAAGAGGTACTCCACGTTCCTGCGGGTTGTACCCTCGGACTACTACCAGGCGCAGTTGCTCGTCGATCTCGTTCAGTATTTCAATTGGACTTACGTCTCTATCGTCAATACCGACGGTGAGTGTCAACCGGAAATTCTTTGGAAATTGGATTTTGAATTTGGAAATTAATTGCATGGAACTCATCATAGGGATTAATCAATTATAAAAAGCACGTGCAATTGTCACTCCATCCGGGTGTGCGGTATTCGGGAGAAATTGAAGGGTCTATCGATCGCGGTTATTCTCTCCCCTCTCCTCCCCTGGGATTTTCAAATTTGGAAATTACAAATCCGGCCGCTGATTACCGGAGATTCAATACCCCTAATCATCGATTACAAAAAATTACTCTATTGTCAGAAACAGAATTAATGAAAATGAAGAGAACTCCGGGGAAAAAATTCTCCAGTGATTCCCCGAATTTTCTCCGCCCGTCCCTTTACGCCCTTTTGTCAGCAATGCACTAGAATTCAGTTCGTTAATTTTTCTCCGTGCGGACGACTCATTTATCAAACTCCCGGGGAAAACGTCTGTGAATGTGAGTCAGACCCCACCGGAAGTGGAAATAATATTCATGAGAATGAGTGTTATGGGAAAAATATAAGAATGACAATGACGTACCGCAATAAAAGAAAAAATATTCCTCAGGGGGTGAGTGTGGCGGTAAAATATTTAGCCAAGTCACTCGAAATATAATATATTTTGTCGGAATATAATCGACAAGGCCCTTGAGTAATTTTATTAATGTAATGAAGTCAGTCAGAATTTGATCTCACGGGAGCCTTGAACTCGGAAGTATTCGTGACAGCAATACCCGGGGTCTTCCTCGGAAACATATGTATATCACACTAATGGAATTGCTAGTTCACCTTAATTGCACACATGTCCAACTGAAAATTCATCCATCAGGTCGACCTACTTAATGAAATATTTCCAATTACTTAATGAACTGGGCTACGTTGAATTTTCAATAATGATTTTTGGATTGAACTTCCAATCACTGAATTTTCACTCGCATTTTCATGCCAAACCCCTCACCCTTTAAATTTTTGTATTAAAAATAAATAATCTTCCGGAAAATTATTATATTCATCTCTTATTAATTTTTCCTCTTATCAATAAATCCCGAAATTTTCAGAATGTTTATTTAATATAAAATTGGAGAGAAAATATCGGATTATTTTAAAGTAATGGTGATATTATTATTGAAAATTGCATTGTTATTTTGAAATGATTAATGAAAATTTTTATCAGAGAATTATGGACAGAGCGGAATGCAAGCGTTTCGCGAATTGGCAGAGAGATATGGTATCTGCGTGGCGAGAGAGGATTCGGTTCTATCAAATGCAGAGGATGCGGTTTTCGATGGAGTCCTGACCAATCTCGATCAGGATCAGGCGGCAAATGTCGTCGTCTGCTTCTGCGAGGGGATGACGATGAGAGGCCTGCTCTCCGCCAGCAAGAGACTCAATTTGACAGGGCGATTCGTTTTTATTGGAAGGCAAGTTAATTGAATTTTTCTACTTCTGCATTTGTCCAGGTTTTTCATTTTTCCTTTGATGAATTTTCACCGGTTCACCCGAGTGGGATATCACAGGCAGATGAATCCAGTATTGACTTTGAAATATTGTTTACTGCTAGTTGATTCTCATTCTTCCCCGCGATTTGTACAGATGAGAAATTTCTAGACAGTAATTACGAGGATTATGGATCAACGCGGGTTAATGTGAGAATTGCAAAGGGTAGGGGGTGGTGAGGGCCAGAGGGAGAAACGGAAGCTAGTTATGGGCCGGAAGTCGACATCTAGATTCGCAAGGGGAATCGCTGTTGGTCTCACTCAATCATTGGAACTCGGTAATTGCGGTCACATTTGCGGTTACCAATTTCCTACAAACTTAATCTTCCCAGTCGATTTTACCCTCACATTTTATTTCACCATTTATTTAAGGAACGCTCTGCCATCCCCCAGTATAAACCATCAAATGCAATCTATCAAGACATTTTATAGTTTCTATAAGACATTTTTATAATATTTTTAAATTAAAAAATCAGTCAATCAATTTTCTAGATAAATCGGTTAGTGTGGAGAATTGATTGTAGAGCTTTATTTTTAATTTGAGAGTAGTGACGGCTGGGCTGATCGCGATGATGTCGTCGAGGGCCTCGAAGACGAGGCCTGGAGCAGCCTCTCCATTCGAATCCACTCTCCCTACGTCAAGGAATTTGACAAGCATTATTTCTCCCTCAATCCCTTCACGAACACTCGCAACCCCTGGTTTGTGGAATTCTGGCAGCATCGGTTCAACTGCGTCATGCCGAGGATTTTGAGTGACGATCTGGAGGAGAACCCCAGCAATAAGACGGCCATTGAATTTCCGGAGGGGAGGAAAATCTGCACAGGTCAGAGAGACTATTCCTCAATAACAGGGCATTTAGTCAAATCCTATTATTATAAATAATTTGATAAAATATTTTGCTATCAATTGTCCACGTCATAAATAGTAGTGATAACGTGGTGATTACACCTCGCAAATGCTTATAACAAATGCTGATAACACAGGAAAAATCGATTCAAGATGAAAGTGAAATGTGCGATGTGTCACAGATTTATGGAGATGGACAAGAGAATTTATTCTGTATGAATTGATTTTTATTTGGGTCACGTAAAGGTGAGGAGAGGTTGGAGGAGCGTTACAGTCAGGATCCGAAAATGAGTTTTGTGATGAAATCGTTCTGGGCTATGGCACACGGTCTCCACAGTATGCTTGAAGAGATATGCGGTCGCGATTACTCCGGTGTTTGCAAAGAGATGTATCCCTTCAACGGCACCCTCTTCAAGGTAATCCCCAAGATTTAGCGGTCTGACACCTTGCCAAGTGGTTAATATTATTTTAATTTTATTTTTTTTTGTCGATGCAGAACCACTTGATGAATATATCCTTCACTTTCGGCGAGGAGGAGGTGGAGTTCGATCGTCGTGGTGACCCTCCGGCCAGGTCGGTGCGTATGGTTGTTGGAAATCTTTCGAAATCCATACGAGATAAACAACAAACATCCTCATATCGATAATAACCATCCACATATGAAAAAATTTCAGGGATATACTCACACTTTCTTCGAGAAGTCTCTTAGTCAGTTAATCTCTTAGAAATCAATTGATCTGATTGATGAGGATGAGTTATAATCGACATTCCGCAGATCTCTCGTGGAAGCTGTTGAGTTTTCTTAAATTTTTTCATACGTCATCATTCAATTGATGAGTTAATGGAGTTTAAGTGGAGATGAATAATTTTAATGCGACAGGTATGAGATCCTGAATTATCAGCTCGGGCCCGATGGCAGTTACGATTACAGGCAGATCGGGGACTGGAATAATGGGACTCTGGTGCTCTCTGAGTTACCGCAGTCCAGGGGCAGTCAATTGGTCACCAGTGTGTGTTCACAGCCTTGTCCTATGGGGCACTATAAGGTATTTAATTCCACCAATTATAGACTCAGGAATTGACTGCGCTTTGAGGAATGGAGTTTATTCAGAATTTCCGATATCGCACTAGTTCATCTCCCTCAATTCTTTTTTCCTCACGTACATATGAATGAATGCAGTCCGGTTTACCGATATTCAGGGGAAAGCAATCGACTGCTGAAAGAACTGATTCGCTATTGTTGGCGGATATTTCGTATGCGCTGACCAGGAATGAGGTCGGAGTCCGGATAAATTCGAGGGACACCGTATCCACGGGAACTTTTCAATTATAAGACCCTCAGAGGGAGGAATTACCTGAAATTCATTCATGCAATTCATTTAATAAATAAATGTAAAAAAATTATCTCGTTTGAAAAAAATAGATGGGGATGCTACCTGAAATTTGAGTAATGAAATGAATAAAAATAAATGACACAATTTGCAGAATTTTAAAACAGGTGGTCAAGGAAAGAAATGCTGTTGGGCATGTGTACCTTGTGATCATCACGAGGTTGTCGACGAAGAGCAACTGAAATGCGTGCCTTGCCCCTACGGTCAGTGGCCGAATAAAAATAAAACCGGTATTAACAACAATAACAAATCCACGACACAATTAATCCTTGAAGGAGAGCCCCGGGGAATTAATAGAGACAGTATTTCAGACTGCGAGGTGATTTTCGTGGAGTACACATCCTGGGGGGACGTGGAGGCTGTTGTTGGCATCACCTTCAGCGTTTTAGGACTGATGGCGACTTTTGCCACGTGTCATATATTCGTGAGACACAATAATACCCCCGTGGTGAAAGCCAGCACACGTGAGCTCAGCTATCTCATCCTCGCCGGCATCACCCTGGCACATGCTGCAGTGAGTTTCTTGTTTATTACCGCAAATATTTATTATACTCCTCTCAGGTTTTTCCCATTTTAGCGAAACCCACGAGGATATCCTGCGCCCTGTCACGACTCATGCCGGGGATCAGTTTTGCCATGATATACGCCAGCCTCTTCACCAAGACCAACAGAATAGCCAGAATTCTCGCTGGATCCAAGAAGAGATTCCCGAAGAGAAAACTCGTGTTCATGTCGGGGACTGCTCAAGTACGTTCTCATTTCTGTTATTAAATAAATTACAGGGATTATCCGTCAAATTAATTCCAATGCTTTCATTGGAATTTTTCGAATTTCTCCCCAATGAATTTTTTTTTTGACAATGAAATTTGTATCTTTGAGATAATCACACCCGGATCGCAAATTGAATGGAATCGTGGAGAGAAGTTGTTGATTTGATTGAATTAACAAATGAAGAAATTTGTAAGGGGTATTAAATGTTATCTGAACAGGTGGCAATAACGTCGTTTCTGATAATGCTGGAAGCTGGTGTAGCTGGTGCAATGCTGGTGATTGAACCCCCACAAGCCCGTCTAGAGTTTCCGGCAAGAGATAGAGCAGTCCTAATGTGTGCAACATCCCCTAGGGCAGTGTTATCGCCGTTGGCATTCGATGGCCTACTCCTAGCCCTGTGCACCCTGTACGCTGTGAAAACCCGAAACGTTCCAGAAAACTTTAACGAAGCAAAATTCATCGGTTTTGCTATGTACACAACGTGTGTCATATGGATTGCATTTGTTCCTATTTACTTTGGCAGTGAATCCAAAGTCGTGACAATGTGCATGTGCGTTACACTGAGTGCTTCCGTCACTCTGGTATTTCTTTTCCTACCAAAACTTTATATCATCGTTCTCAGACCGGAAAAAAATAATAGAGCACTTTTTACAACGAGCAAATCGATACGCTGTCACATCGGAGCCAGGGTGGCAGCTGCCATCGCTGAACCACCCTTGAAGCAGCCTATTTACAGGCTTTCTAATCACAATCCACAAAAATCAGGTATTAATACCATTTAAATATCTTTTTATTTTGCTTAATCAGCTCTTTATTTTCTTTTTAAGACTTTTATTTGTTAATATCCACGTGATTTTGTTTTTTGCAATAATTTTCAACCATGGAGATGTGCAAAGCTCTGTCTCGAGGAGAACTTTATCCGTGCAGACAGGGTCTGAGTTGCTGCTGGATTTATATAAATCCCACCGGGAATTTCTCTCTCCACCTACGATACGTCTCGTCTCATCATCGGACAATATTTCCTCGAAATCAATTCCCAAGTGCAGGAGATGCTTCGAAAGAATGTGCAAATCTACTGGAAATGTGGAAGATTTGCGTCAGGAACGAGTGGATTATTTATTCAGGGATAATCTTGATTTGAAAATCAAAAGGTATAGGAGTGCCAGAGGTCGATGCTCCACCGGCCCCGAGGAATTACCCCTGGATGCCAGAGCACTCATGGAAAATCACGGAATGATGTAAAATTGATACTAATTTAGTTAGTTTTTTTTTTTTTCTGTCCGATAAAGAATTGACGCTGTAAATGACACTTTTATTACTAGGGGCTCGAGGGAGCGGAGATTGGAGTGCCCCGTGGGAGAGAAAAAAGATCAACTCAATCTGGGATTTGGTGGGATAAAAGCTCGCATACGTGAAGAACTGAACCATTTTGACGTTCACGGAAATCCCATAGTTAACATTACAATTACACTCGGCAGTAAATTGCCGGGGTTTCGGGATTTTTATCAAACAACGGTTTGACTCGTCATTAATTGCGTTTTCACATTTATTGTATTGACCATTGAAAAATATTGTGTTCATTTCCGCTGTCTTTTAAGAAATTTTATCAAATTCCTATTAAACTTTTGCGATAATTCTCATTATCATTATAATTAATTCTAGAACTTCAATCAAATTTATTAGAGAGACGTTGTTTTTATATCAATTAGTTTTATCTATTCGAAAATTAACTCCTCGATCTTTCTAATGGATTGAAAATAATGTGGGAATGAATGCCGTGGGATGAATAACGCTTTTAATCAAAATTAACCAAATTAAATTAATTGAAATTACGTTTCTGCTGGATATTCACACTGAATAAAAACGCTTTTGTGTTCAGTAACTGAAAATAAATGATTTTACTGTGTTGAGGATGTAGTGACTAGATTTTTACTCGCTTTAAACTAGTTCCCTCGTCCTGAATCGCAATAGCTTCGCTGGTATCGGCTAAATATTGGAAACCATGGAGACTCGGATTTATTCGTTGATAAATTATCATGATTTTTCATCCTCAGGGAGAAACATGAGTGGAGATGATCGTGAAGAGTGCCAGTGGCAACCGACCCTCCCCGAAATAGCAGGTAATTAAAATGTTCATTAACATCTTTAACATAATAAAGATGACAGCGCGAAAATCGAAATGAATCCACTAAAATTCAAAATAGATAATGGAAATTGAATAGAATTAAATTCGTTAGGGGTTTGCATTGAAAAAAGACATTTGTTCAATAATTATTCAAGGATTGTTACATCAATTGCAACTGTCACCCCCGCACTGCGAGGAGGAGCTCATGTCTCTGGTTGAGATCTCCACGAGTTCTCGGAATGATCAAAGTGAATCCGGGGATTCCACTTGTGCCAACGGTACTCTAGAAAAATTCAATAGACCGGAAATGGTAGAACAATTGGGGAATATCATTAGAGAGAAAGGCATGAATAGAATGAAAAATAATTGGTTCCACGAGCATCTCGTCGAGCACTTCACCAGGAAGCAAGTAATGTTCGATTGAAACGGGATTTTTAGTTTGATCGGGGAATTTTTTATTATCATTTTTTTAGATGATTCACGTTTGCTCTGACAAGTCCGAAGGCCAAACGGCAGTCGATGATTATTTGGGGAAATTGAAATTATTGGATAAGGAGAATTTTAGGAGTCTCTCATGCGAGAGCAGGTGGAACGAAGAATTAGCTGTTGTGCGTATGGAAATTGCTGGTGAAAATGAGAGGGCAGAAGAAATTGTTCAATCTGTCATTTCGATGCAACGAGAAATTCGCATTTGCTCTGCACCGTATGTCAAACAAATCGCATTGAAGAGGATCGAGCATTTAATTTCGATGGAGATGGGGAGAATTCAGAAAGTCTCACATTTTCGTTTGGCGTATGTACGTATTCTGAATTTTTTTTTCCTGTGTAGAATTTCTAGTTTACAATGTCCGAATTTTATTTCAGTTGAAAATGAGAAACAAACTTATTCTGATAGAGAATAATTTGTACGCGATCATCTCCTCGGAGCCGAGTTTGAGTAAAGATCATTACGAAAGACTGGAGGCAGAGCAGTTTTACTACAAGCAACAATTGAATTCTAAAAATCATCATCGGGCGATCCTCATGAGCAGAAGAGAGTGTTCAGCTCATGAAGTCGAGGATTTCGATTTAAAAATCTCCCGGGTTCGGGCTCGCATCAAATCCGGAAAACTGAGAATTTCGAATTTGCGGAAAACTGTGAAATATCATCTTCGCAATCACAGAGCTGTACTGAATAAAATTAACAGAAATAACAAAATAATATCAAATTACCGTAAAGAAACTGATGTATCGAATTTAGATGCCACACAGAGAGAATATGAAGAATGGGTGGAAAAAATTTCAGTGATATTGAAGGAAATAAAACGCGTGGGACAAGCACTCAGTGCTCTGAAGACAAATTTGATTCTCCATGGAAAAAATATCGAATTAGCCACCGATGATATCGAAATATTAGAGAAAATGGTGGATAGACCCCCGAGAAAGGGAATAACCCCCAACGAAGAATTAAACGACTGAATTTTGTTTAGTACATTTATTTGATTTTTTTACTTCATAATAATTATTGTCCAGATTCTAAAAATTTATATTCACAAATTCATTGGCTTCCGGCAGTAAAAATTTTGTTACGTTTCGTACAAAATATCAGTTAAAAATTTGCCGCAATAAATATGTATTAAAAATCATTCGACATTTTTAAACCTAACTATTTACAGAGTACTGTTAAATACATAAGTAGGCCCATTAGATTATCTACTGGGGATTGCTACCTGCTCCTCTCGTCGTTACGTGTATTTTACTCTTCTGTTTAGTTAATTCGTAATGGATATGTTAGGACAAATAATCGAACTGAACTTACAAAAAATATATTGAATGTAATGATTGAACTGTGTTAGTTTGTACGTCCTGACGTTGATTCCTTACAGAATCGACAATTTAGAAATCGATGTTGAGAAGGTGATAAGGGGGTTCTAAGAGTTATTCACCCAGACAAAAATCTCCCGGACAAGACCCCCCAAAAATAACTCCGGACACCGATAAGGGACATCCCATGCAAATCAGCCATTGTGGCTATGAATTAATCCCTGAATCTTGAAAAAAAAAATATTATACCTTCACTTGCTGCAGTATTAAAAAAATACTGGAAGAGAGGGGAAATTGTTTTTTCTTTCCATAAATATTAAATTAGAATAATTAAGGTTTATAACATAAAAGTCATGCTGAAACAATAAAAAATTGCAAATAATCATGTATTTATGTGCTTAATTAATTTAAAATCCGTGTTCGTGGAAGGAAAATAAAATTTAGGTGGCAGAATTGGCATGGCATGCCCCATGTTTGAGGAAATCCATTGGTTTTCGATGAGGCAGTGCAACTTCCTCCATTATTACTCGATAATTAAATAGGCAGGTACGCCAGTTAATTTCCAGGCTTCGTTTCACATATAAATATGATATAAAAATATCTTGAACTCCGAAGGCGGGAAAGACCTTCATTTTAATAATAATCGGTATCATTGTGCGCCTTTTATGGAATATCTAATCTACACTGGTTTAAATTTTTCCCCTGAATTTTCAAGGAATTCGGCATTCAATATTCAATTTCCCTTGAAGACTCATGAATATGGTGGAATTTTCGTGTGCGTGTCATAAAAATTTTTGGGTGCCTTTGGGTTAATAAAATTTTAAAGTCTTCTGTCCGAAAATTCAGGGAAAATTTTTGAGTGCCACAAGAAGAAATCCCCGTCGAATTTGGTAATTTTTTTTACGCTTAGAAAATGTAAGTAAAAAGTGAGGAAAAATAAAAAAAAAACCCTGACGAGCACAGAATTAAGATTGCAGTTTCGTAAAAATTCTACGAATGAGACACAGATCCGGGGGTTCGATTCCTCGATTATTCCCCGGAATTATAACATACAACATTTCTTTTTATTTTTTTTGTAATTCGGCTTCAGCGGCGGTCGCTCCGACAACTGAAATTTACGAACGATTCTCACGAGCTCGTGAAAAGCTTGATCGACATTCATACGTAATTTGGCGCTACACTCGATGTACGGGATTTTGAGGACGCGTGCCAAGTTCTGAGCCTCGTCAACTCCCACCTGAAAGCATCACTTATTGTTAGACTTGGAAAATTCGAATTTATCTTGAGGGAATTGGAAAACTCACGGATCTTTGGTGGTCAAGGTCGGCCTTGTTGCCTACCATCAACATAGGAAACTCGTCGCGGTCCTTGACCCTCAGGATCTGTTTATGGAACTTCATTATTTCATCGAAGGAGGAGTGATCTGTCACTGAAAAAACCAGGAGGAAACCCTCTCCACTTCGCATATATTGCTCACGCATGGCACTGAACTCCTCCTGCCCCGCGGTATCTAAAACTGTTGAGAAAATTCCACATGTAGATGATATCTTTGGGAATAATTTACATACTATAAATTATTTCTAACATACTGTCGAGCTTCGCTGGCACTTCGTCAATGACACACTGCTTTGTGTACGAATCCTCGATCGTTGGATCGTAATCCGTAACGAAATAGCTCTGAAACGAGAAAAAAAAGAATTAATCAATCACGAATTTCCCACGAACCCATTGACGTTAAAAGGAAATACGCAAAGATCTTTTACCATAAATTAAAAATCATTTGCAAACCCTCAAATAATGAATTTCAATAAAAATCATGAATATATTTTTCCATGATAAAACAATTACTCAATATTTACCTTTATAACTCTACGTAATTTACAGAACGAGTTCTAGTAATTCTCTGTAACTATGCACCTGAAAAAATGATATCACCGCGAACAACCGTCAGATATAGACCAGTCAAAAATAATTTCGATATCTGGGTCACAGGTCTGACTTCAAAAAATGGAGAAATCATAGATTCTTCTCCGTATCAATTGAATGTATTTCACTTCTTGTAGTTGAGCAACGAGTGTCGTAGGAAGCAAGCACCCACGTTATTATGAATAACAATCAAGAAGTAAGATGCCGAATATGTTCAGGTATTTTACAGGTCCTCTCGCCGAGATTCCAATCATAATTCTAGTGATTATAACCTTACGTGAATTCTCCCAGCAAATACTCCGCATTGAACGATTATTTGTTTTAATAATGAAAATGCTTCTCCCAAGGAAATACGAACATTGGGAAATAATAAATGTCGAAGGAGTTAAACTTCTTAATTGTTATAATAAAAAATAAAAAATGATTATTCTCCATATAATTCTGGATAAATGATTATTTCTCAAAAGTCCATGAATTTTTGTACAGCAGAAATAAATGAATAGTTCCAAGTTTTTTGTCTTTCTCTCTGTTCAAGGCCCAAGGAACCTACGCAGACCTGTCATTACCCCACGACCTCCCACACAATATTGAAAACCTTCGAACAATGCCTCATCATAATTGCAGAATATATATTAAACCCAATCACGAGAATATCATCCCCAGGAAGTTCCTCTCATCAATAAAACTCGAATCAACAGATCTCCACCCATTTTCCCTCCTATCCCCCATTTGAACTTGTTGCTTTCACGCAATTCAATGAGCTAATAATGGAATACTAACGTCACATCAAGATTACGAAATACCCTGACGCAAAAACACTCGAATTATTTACCTGAATGAACTGAATGGTGATGGCTGATTTTCCAACACCTCCACCACCAACAACAACCAATTTGTACGTCTGTGCGTAGCTCTGTCTGTCACCAGGTCGAGACATCTTAATCTTCACGGCTAATCAATTCAAATCAATTCTAATCAATTCTAATCACCAGTGAAATCACTTTCCTCACACTTTCCACAGACTCAGCCCGTTCTTGGGGACTTGTTAGTTCTGCTGGTCAGTTTTCACGTCCTTGACTCAAACACAGATTATCGACAAATGTCACTCCAGTTCACACTGTTGCGTGCTTTATTGCTGGCTTTCTTTTATCCTCCCTTTTTTTTTTGGTCCGACCCCTCCTTGCTTCCACGGTCAACCGACTCCAACCGAATACAACGATGAAGGATCAAAATTATTGTTGGTAGTAAATGAAGAGATAAACGTTACAGTTCCAGCGATGCCATCTGTCTGGTTCTCTGCAAGACTGAGATGCCACCAGTTTCTTTTCCCGTCAATTTTATACACACATATGTAACAGTGATCGAAGCGTCTCGTGCGTTCACTGACAGAAGTCTCACGACCGACCCACAAAAACCCAAATAAACAATCTAACCTGCAGCGTTTTTGGTGCAAGTGCAATGCTCATTTCACTTATGACAATTGAACACTCCTGGGGATGACGGGAGATCAGGTACGAATCAAGGACACGTCGACCTCTATTTTTACTTGTCGATAATGAATTATAACTTCAATGATAAAATGATGGGATGACCGGAGTCGAATGAGATTGTGAAAAAATTGAAAGACTGAGTAAAACAATTTTGACGATTTGATGCTTCAGTTGAATGGCTTGTCTCAGCATAGGAATGCGAGAAACCTGACGGAATCATGGACGGAATCTATGGCCTTCTTGGGATGCTGCTTGGAGACGCTGGGGAGGACACAAGTGCCACATTGCTGTCTCTCAGCACATCAGTGGAGAACTGCTCTGCAATGAGACAGTCAGGATGTCTTCCCCTGCTGATACAATTGATTCACACCCCGGAGCAGAGTCCGAAGGTGCGAACAGGGGCTTCCAGAGCTCTGTACAACATTGTCAGGGCTACTCAGCATCAGGACGAGGACAACCAGGAGCTCCAGATCCTGGAGTTGATCCAGCAATTGCGAGAATACAGTCGTGCTCTGAGAAACGATGAGGAAGTGGGAGAGGAATCGTCGTCCCTGAGGCATCCGATTCCAGCCATGTCTTTTCTCTTTAAA